ACTTGTACCGATTCATGTCGAAAAGAAGATCAACCAACCAGGGGGCATGCGCCTTAGTATGCCAAACGGTCAATATCTCACTAGTCTGGAGATGGCTGAAACATTCAGTCTAGCCTTCGCCAAACAGCTAAACAGCAATGTGGGTATTACCGTTACGGACCAAAATGGTGACACCACTATTTCAAAGGAGGAAGACCAAATAGTCACCCCCCAAATAAACCCTGCAGGAGTACTTAGAAAGCTACAGCGATTCACAATTGGGAAGTCCCCTGGTTGTGACGACATCAGGCCATCTGTTCTGAAACAGTGAACCGAAGCTCTCTGTAGGCCCTTATGCGACTTGTTCCAACACTCCATGGAATTGGGGAAACTGCCAAAGGAATGGAAAAGAAGCATCCTTTCTCCGATCTTCAAGGGTGGGGATAGGCAAAATCCCACCAGTTATAGACCAGTAGCTCTACTCCCAGTGGTATCAAAAGTACTGGAAAGTATTATTGATGATCACATCAGGGAATATCTGGATAGGTCTAAAATACTCCATGAAGCCCAACACGGTTTCAGGAAAGGGAGATCCTGCCTTACTAACTTATTATCAGCTTGGGACGACTGGACATCATGCTGGGATATGAATGTTCCAGTCCATGTGATCTTTCTAGACTTTGAGAAGGCATTTGACACTGTTCACCATGACCTTCTCCTACACAAAATAAGCCAGGTAGGTATAGGTAAACCACTTCTGTCATGGTTGAAGGACTACCTAACTAAAAGGCAATTTTGCACCAGGGTAAATCGAGTCCGATCATCTTGGCACAGCTCGTCACCAGGAGTGTCGCAGGGTTCTATCCTGGGACCACTGATGTTCTCGAATTTTATCAATGATCTACCATGCCGTTCAAGCTGCCCGACTCCTCTATGCGCTGACGACGTGAAGATATGGAGGGCGATAAAGTGTTTGGAGGACTTATATAGACTGCAGGCAGATCTAGGACTTCTGGATGACTGGGCGGTGGCCAGTGACGTGACTTTCAACCTGAAAAAGTGCAAAGTAGTGAAGTTACGCACCTGTAGACTGCAGAATGCAAGTTACACCCTATGCAATGAAAGCTTGTCCTGCTCAACGTCGGAACGTGACTTAGGTCTAGTTCTAACGGAGAAAATGGACACAAGCGTAAATTACACGGGGGATGACGCAAGGGCATATGCCGTCATACACTTTACACATAGACAGTTAGATGCACTCACTCCTGAGCCCTTTCTAAGGTTGTACAAAACATACGTCAGACCACACCTTGAAGTGCATAATATTATTGCACCCCCACTGCTTAGAAGGGACGCGAACCTCTTGGAAAGAGTCCAACGATGGGCAACAAATGGGGTGGTTGGTCTCCGAAATAAACCATATAATGAAAGGCGGACGAAATTAGGCCTATTCACACTTAGCTACCTTCAGCCTAGGGGGGGGCTTGATTACTGCCTGTGCGACAAAAGAGACCAGAATCAGCCAAACAAGAGTGTTTTGCTATTTAGTAATTATAGTGTTCCCCGTGAAAATCCAAAAAGGATGGCTCACCAGAGGGCACAGACTCAAGTATACTCCCATTTCTTCTCACTGCGGGTTTGCTGTCCCTTGATCTCCTTGCTGGAAGATGTAGCTACGGCACCATCTGTGGACAGTTTTGAACAAAGACTGGACAGTCATGCAGTGACACAAGGCCTGCGTCTAAATGGCCTACCCCCTTAGAATCCTATACACCATTCATGGGTAAACAACTAAATTCGTTGTTATACTTCTTTACATCTTCTCCCGTCTTACACTCCTGACAACTCCAACTACTAAACCTAAACTTATTATAATTATTATTATTGATAACATATACATATATATTGATATATGTATACAATATCAATATATCAATATAATATAACATGTGTATTCAACTTCAAATTTAATAAGTCTGAAAAACCCACACCAATCATATGTCATTATTATCATCGTTATTATTATCTCTTCTTTCGAAAACGACACCGTTGGAATAGCTGGTGAAGGGATCAACTCCATCCACAGTAGCAAAAATGTCTAAACACACTACATACTACAAATAACACATTATTTATCCCAATACCACGCCACCAAAGCTACGACAGTCGAGGGACGGGACGAATTATGCAGAATTTGGTCGGAGACCAGGAACCTTTAATTCACGACCAAGAAACAAGCACAAATAAATCATACAGTAATCTCGGATACCGTCCCTTTAGTCACAACATAGCCCAAAAGAAAGTCATCATGGTTAAAGAGAGGCACGCAGCATATTCTGCAAGCAAAGCGGAAGGCTTGATTTACGTGGCGCGTATCTAAAAGCCAGATCGACCATGATGCATACGTGGAACTCAGAAACCGGTGCAATGCAAGAGTCAGGAGGGACAGGAGGTCATTCCAGGTTAACCTTGCTAAAAAACTCCTGGCAAACCCCAAGAACTTGTACCGATTCATGTCGAAAAGAAGATCAACCAACCAGGGGGCATGCGCCTTAGTATGCCAAACGGTCAATATCTCACTAGTCTGGAGATGGCTGAAACATTCAGTCTAGCCTTCGCCAAACAGCTAAACAGCAATGTGGGTATTACCGTTACGGACCAAAATGGTGACACCACTATTTCAAAGGAGGAAGACCAAATAGTCACCCCCCAAATAAACCCTGCAGGAGTACTTAGAAAGCTACAGCGATTCACAATTGGGAAGTCCCCTGGTTGTGACGACATCAGGCCATCTGTTCTGAAACAGTGAACCGAAGCTCTCTGTAGGCCCTTATGCGACTTGTTCCAACACTCCATGGAATTGGGGAAACTGCCAAAGGAATGGAAAAGAAGCATCCTTTCTCCGATCTTCAAGGGTGGGGATAGGCAAAATCCCACCAGTTATAGACCAGTAGCTCTACTCCCAGTGGTATCAAAAGTACTGGAAAGTATTATTGATGATCACATCAGGGAATATCTGGATAGGTCTAAAATACTCCATGAAGCCCAACACGGTTTCAGGAAAGGGAGATCCTGCCTTACTAACTTATTATCAGCTTGGGACGACTGGACATCATGCTGGGATATGAATGTTCCAGTCCATGTGATCTTTCTAGACTTTGAGAAGGCATTTGACACTGTTCACCATGACCTTCTCCTACACAAAATAAGCCAGGTAGGTATAGGTAAACCACTTCTGTCATGGTTGAAGGACTACCTAACTAAAAGGCAATTTTGCACCAGGGTAAATCGAGTCCGATCATCTTGGCACAGCTCGTCACCAGGAGTGTCGCAGGGTTCTATCCTGGGACCACTGATGTTCTCGAATTTTATCAATGATCTACCATGCCGTCTAAGCTGCCCGACTCCTCTATGCGCTGACGACGTGAAGATATGGAGGGCGATAAAGTGTTTGGAGGACTTATATAGACTGCAGGCAGATCTAGGACTTCTGGATGACTGGGCGGTGGCCAGTGACGTGACTTTCAACCTGAAAAAGTGCAAAGTAGTGAAGTTACGCACCTGTAGACTGCAGAATGCAAGTTACACCCTATGCAATGAAAGCTTGTCCTGCTCAACGTCGGAACGTGACTTAGGTCTAGTTCTAACGGAGAAAATGGACACAAGCGTAAATTACACGGGGGATGACGCAAGGGCATATGCCGTCATACACTTTACACATAGACAGTTAGATGCACTCACTCCTGAGCCCTTTCTAAGGTTGTACAAAACATACGTCAGACCACACCTTGAAGTGCATAATATTATTGCACCCCCACTGCTTAGAAGGGACGCGAACCTCTTGGAAAGAGTCCAACGATGGGCAACAAATGGGGTGGTTGGTCTCCGAAATAAACCATATAATGAAAGGCGGACGAAATTAGGCCTATTCACACTTAGCTACCGTCGTCTTAGGGGAGATTTAATTACTGCCTACAAAATAACAAATGATCAGAATCACCCAAACAAAGGTGTTGTGCATTTGAGTAGGTATAGGCCCCCCCGTGGAAACCCTAGAAATTTAGCTCATCAGAGGGAAAGGACCCGGGTGCGCTCCCACTTCTTTTCCCTGCGGGTTTGCCATCCCTGGAATTCCTTGCCTGCAGATGTAGCTATGGCACCGTCTGTGGACTCCTTTAAGAGAAGGCTGAATAACCATGCAGTGACAAAAGGACTTCATCCAAATGGCCTATCCCCTTAAAATCGCATACACCACTCAAAGGTAGACAATTAAACTGGTCGTTTTACTTCTTTACATTCTCTTCCGTCTTACTCTCCTGACAGCTTTAACTACACCTATTATTATTATCATTATTACCGGTATATACATATATATATACCGGTTGACTGACTGTTGTTACGTTTTCTTATTCTTTTCCTGTCTGTTAGTCTGAATACCTTCACTAACTACATCTATTATTATTATCTCTTTTCTATTGACGACGATACCGAAGGACCAACTGGTGAAAGGATCAACTCCATTCACAGTAGTAACAGTCTTAACACACCTCATTCTACAAACCACATACAATTAATCCCTGCACTACTCCTTTTGGAGTCAACCAAAGCTACGACAGTTGAGTGGCGGGACGAGCTACGCAGACGTTTATCAAAGATCAGGAACCTCTGTCTCACAATCAAGAGGCGAGCACAAAGAAATCGAATTGGTTAATACTAGCTCGTAAAAACGATATTGGATATTGGAAAATGTTTGGATGATAAATCTCATTCCGGAATCAGATTCTACCATTCCATGTGTGACAAAACAGTATAGAGAATGAATTATGAATTTTTCAGACCAAACAATAGATCAAGGGTTTGAAGGGACTTCGAAATATATGTGTTTCATTTGTAACGTGTTCCTCAATTGGAATATTCATCACACTTTACATTGATCCTACGGAACAAGCGCGGTCTCCGGTACATTTAAATTTCTAGCGTGCTTTGATATCACGTCTGAACTTTGCCAACTTGGGTGCATAATGGAAGCAAGGTACGTCTGGTATTTTAAGCGTGTAGGAGAGTGACAACTTATGTTAATTTACATATTGCCTATATAAGTTAAATTTAAGAGCGGCTTGCTAGGTTGTGTGATCACTGTCCAAGACAAGGACTTAGAATAAAGGTACATATGTAACAATGAAATACTGTATACCTTAAGCTTGTTATTCTCTGGTTCGACTTTAAGAGGATTAGTTTTTGTGAAGTGTTTGTAAGTTCCGCTACTGTCTGCTAGTCTACATAAGCCGGGTGATCTTACATAGGTTTCTGATATATGGAGTCGTATATTCGAGGCCTAGACGGATTCACTTGCTTAAGATACAGCTTATTCACAAGAAACGTACTTCATCAGTACATACGTCGTTTGAAAATGACTTCCTCTTCATTTTACGGTAATCGTGAGCATATTAGGCACTAGTAAGTAGTGTACTTAGGTGATCGTACGGCCTCAAACAACTAGCTCGACCAAAGATATTCCCAAGATCTTAGCTTCACTAGGATGCTTTCAAATGCTAGAGGTACTGTCAGTGAAATTTTAACGTCGCTTCCTCTACAACTAGCGTTTCTCATGTGTATGGTGTTAGGCACCTTCCGTTTTCATCAATTTCAAATGATGCTACCTTGTAGTTTCCAAAGAATGTAACTCCATGCCGGCTTAACAGTTAAATACGTGTTATACTTGGCATTTATATTGTTACACATTAGTTTTACATAAAGGATGTTATGGTTGCGTGAGCAATTCATATTGGTTTGCTTTTTTGGCGTTAAACCACTATCTGTACTGATGTACTCCTCCATATGTGTAATAGCAACCCTGAAGAGATGCATTCTAATTTTCAATTCACATTTTGTGACGTTGACTCGGTTAGTCAGTGATTACGCCTAAGTTATATCATAATCCTAGAATACCCGGTTTTGTGTTGTGAGTTATGTAGATGGTATAAATGGTCATGTGCTTATGCAGATACATTATCTTATTTACAAATAGTGCGAAGACTGGTAATACCAAAGCTGCTGCTGCCAAAAGGCCACGAAAGCCTGAAGGCCTTCGTATCAAAGAGAAAATTCGACGACGGAAGCTGATCACCACAACTCGTAGGAAAATATTACAGCGATTGAAGCACATAAAGCTGAAAGGTCTGATGAAGCAGCGTGCGGAAAAGTATATGCATGTAAGTTTCCAAGTATGAATTTAATTATGTCTTAGGAATACCGCAGAATGCAGAAGAAAGAAGTTGCTATGCAGCGTGATGCCAAAAAGACTGGAAACTTCTACGTTCCAGCAGAGCCGAAACTCGCTTTTGTTGTGCGCCTTCGTGGTATCAATGGAATTCATCCCCAGCCAAGAAAGATACTGCAATTATTCCGTCTTCGACAAATCAATAATGGCATGTTTGTACGGTTGAATAAGGTAACTTAACATATCGTAATAGTCTATTATGTAGGCTACGCTCAATATGCTTCGTATAATTGACCCATACATCGCATGGGGTTACCCCAGTCTCAAGCTGGTTCGACAGTTGATTTACAAGCGTGGATTTTGCAAGTATCATGGGACTCGACAACCTCTGTCAAATGATTTGATTCAGCGCAAACTTGGACACCTTGGTTTGATATGTGTTGAAGACCTTGTGCATGAAATTTACACAGTTGGTCCCAATTTCAAGCAAGCTGTCGCATTTTTGTGGACATTTAAACTGAATAACCCCAGTGGTGGATTTCGTAGAAAAGGAAAACATTTCGTAGAAGGAGGTGATTTCGGGAATCGTGAAATCTTTATCAATAAATTACTCAAAGCAATGCTCTAAATAAACGAATAACCTTTGGTACCAATCTTTTTTATTTTATTTTGCCACGTACTTTGTTCGGAGTTCTAAGTTAGTTGTAGAGGACTGCAGTTTGTCCATCTATAGGTATCTGAAGTGAATAATGAGTGTTTACATGAGAATTAAGTTCCATATATAGTAGGCAGAGCGTTTATTGTATGATCGTGTATTGATGTTATTGCAAGCATAATTGCTTCAGAAGTAATCTCTTTTACCACTGAAGTCAGTTTATAGTTCTTTTGGGTTTTAATATGGATGTAAACGTGATTTGACGGCATTTAGTATTAGTAGGTTATAGTCAATGGAATTCATTGAGGTAGTAGTTAGAATTCCAGGTTTTCGACCACACTTCCCTAGCATTCCTAAAAGTAATATGATATATTTTACAGCTTGATGTCCACGATTTTCAGTGTCGAGTGATGTCTGCATCCAGTTTGCCGTCCTTCTCGTATTTTGATACTGAAAATAGTTACGACAAAAATATCACTGTTGTAAAAAAGCGTGAATTTAGTTTCGTGAATAGTTTCCTGTAGCGCCTGAGTGTTTTCCATCCTACCAGGCTTGTAAGTAACACTTGTGCGCTGTCTTATGTGTACTCAAGATTGCATTTATTTGGTGTCTCAAATAACTCATCGGAAATCTTAATTGGTGCCGAATATCAGAGGTAAAGCATTGTCCAACCAGTAAGCATATTAATTAGGGATACTAGAAAGAAAAAAGGCTGCTAATTGTCAGCCATCGGGTTCCATTCTCTCACTAACAGCTCTCTTTATGCCATTCAAAAGGACGATCGGTCCCCTGACGTGGTTCAGCAGCATTTTGGGCACTGACTGACTCAATTTTAACATAGAACTTAACACAGAGGTGCAGCAGTTCAAGTGATAATAATAGTAATATGGACGACATGCATGACAGACATACACAGATTGATAATAACATCAACAATAAGGAATTCAAGTCATTTGTAGCAACTCCATTCGAAAAAGGGTCCATGAAAACCTTCCGGAGAATTCTTAACTATGCAGAAGTAAAAATGGTATTCGAAATTCACTTATAAACAAACTATGTCGGTTAAAGGATCCTGTGGAGCCCATTGCACAAAATTGTGTAGTTTATCTAATATCTTGCAACGATTGTCAGTTCAAAGCAGTAGGACGTGATCAATCAGACTAGCTGAGCACAAAGACAGCAAATTCTAGATTAGCTGACACTAAGAAGATAAATCTAGAAAATAGCTCATCTATGGCACTACACAGCCATCCAACAGGGTGAGTTAAGATGATTGTGTTAAAGTCTAACTTATCAGGGTAAAGGAAGAGATAGATAACGGAAGCTTTATTTATCGAATCAACTGAAAATACGTTCATTAGGGATGATTCAACACCTGTTCCAGACAACTAGAAAATTCTACTATACCTACGACGAATGGGAAGGAATAAACAAATATGTAAAACTGAATTGTCGAGGTTGTGTAGTTATAATTGATATGATTATGAATAATATATAGTGTTGGAAACGTCGTCCAGTAAGAAATACTGTTTCACTGTAGTATATCAAATGAATATGGAATTACTTACTACTACAGGGCCCTAGTTTAATACATGTTTGCGTTTAATCTTGATGCTTTTGTGTGAGCAACTTGGTATGATTATGAGCAATAAATTATGCACGAAACGTCAGTAAATATTACTGTATAACACAAATAAATTTTATCCACAAAAGAGTTATACTCTACCACAGTTTACAAGTTCTGTTCTATTAGTTGAAAGTCTCCCAGGAAACCCATGGTTACACAAGAAGGCTTTGTGGAGTTAATGCGAATAAAGCGGTCTTGCTAGACAGCGATAAAATCTGGTGTCTGTTGAACCCCCTAAGTGTATTTGACGTCAACATAAAATTTACTGACCACTTCACATTTCTTGTGAGATTTACATTAGTTATCACAAGTCAGTTACTGACATAATGGTCTAGTGTGTGGCCCATGCGAGATAAATTGCTACCCATTAACTGGCAAGTATGCTGCGTAGTATTTCTCCATATCTAACTTCGCAGTTCGAAAACATGGTCGATGGAAGCATAAACTCAGAAAATACCACAATTCTTAGCATAGGTGGCATGCTGGTCATCTTATGGAATTAGATTGACGTCGTTATAATCCCCATTCTCCAGCAGTACGAATTCACCCACCGCGAACATTGTGTTAAGAACTTACAATGTGGTAGTAACTACTATTTGCCTGACAACTATTCAAACGACCTTCCTAGTAGGATCTGGAGGAACATTTGTCCCAGCCAGTGCTGGTCGTTGGTTCAATGTGATGTGCAAGTCAAACTACCACATCAAAGAAGCAGCAACCTGTCGGGAACTGACTATTTCGTCTCAATTATTTTACGGCTAAGGATTGTAAGTGTTTATAAAGATAAAATGGAAATTTAATACAGGTGAATAAGCAGTTGCATAACATTTCAAGATATTTATTGGAAAAACTGTTATGAAGATGAGCGTAAAATAGACTGATACATTAAGTAAGAAATACATAGAAGATAGGCGTAGACTATTTTAACGTTAACAGACTAAGGTCATGAGAGGAGTTGAGTATGTTGTCATCTAAACACGGGTTTCCTGTGAGAAGGTCCAATATTGCGATGTGATAGCCAGTCACCATACAAACAATGTCTTCCTGCAATATGGAACGTATGTTTTGCGGTTTTCATTAATTTATACTCTAAGATATCGTCTCCGTTGCCTTTTTCTCTGCCAACTTGAGCATCATGATGTTTTCACCCCTAATAAAAGCCTCAATTCTTCTGATGTTCTTTGAAAATATCCACTACTGAAAAAAATTACCGATTAAGTTAAACCCACATTGACCCTGAACAACCGATCAGAATTCAGATTCAAGAAAGTCACATAATCGTTAGAAAAATGTGCTAAACCATATTACAAACATGACATTACACTGTATAATTGTCTCTTCTGTGTTGTAAGAATGTCGCTCATTTGATCCAAGGATAATCCATAGAGAGATCACATCATGCGCGATGGACGTACTCATCAAGGTGACTGTAAATTATGATTCTTCGGGATCCATTGGTATTCCTGACACTGTTATTTAGTCTAACCGGAACTCTAATCCTACCCTTAACCTTATATCCCAATCCTAGCCTAAAGCCGGAAAACAATAAACCTACCTGACAATGTCGATTTACAGAAAAAAGTGCCTAGGGAATAAGTGGAGTGCTGTAACTACCCTCGCGAAATCCATAAAGGTAGGCAAGATTTGACTTGGAATAACTTTTCGCAGCGTTCTCTAAATCTAATTGGCTCCTGTAGGCCAAATTTTTACAGACTTTGACTTTGGTTAGTTTAACTTCGCCCTCATTAATGAATGAAGTTAATGAATGCATCAATGACCTTAAATAATGGGTTGTAGATTTTCTGTTATACTTGAAAGATGAATATGTCATCAGTAAATCTTTTAATGTGTTGATGGGAGAGATTTAGTCCAAATCATGATTGATCATGAACTGACTTCATTTAAAGGAACATTGAAAACCATGGAGTACTGGATAGATGCTTCGTGCTTGTTTGAGCATCTTCACCAGTACGCTTAGTACTTCAACACAAGTATACGTGTGCAAAGTTATCAATTTTTGAAAAATCCTGTTTAATTCTATGAGCTATACCGAAATAGTTTTCTGTAACTAGGTACAATGACAGCTAAATGTTATAGAGGAGATTCGTATTTCCTCCTAAGAATAACACTAAATGTAAGCGTCTAACTGCCTTTCACTAAGATATATCGTCTCTGTGTGCTTATGTTTGCAGAAAGAAAATAAACCAATGTATGGTAATTGTCTAGTGTTATCATAGCTTTCTTATTCAACCATGGACATTTCACCGCCAGACTTGATGACACCATTAACACTCGATTTATTGAGAAGTGAACGTAGATAAACTAGCCATCATACATATTTCTATTTACATTTGAACAACCATTATTGATGATTCATAGATTGATTTCAAAGAATGTGCAACTGACAGCTTTTATAAATCTCAGCTTCAGAGTGTTATCTGTTGCATTCTTAATTAGAAAGCAACTATCTCCTGAATATTGAATTGATAGGTGTTTTCATAGTCGCGTTGTTAATTCACACCATCTCTATGGGGAACGCGATTTTCATAAATACAAACTAGTCTTAGGCTTTGCAATTCATCTCTTCGCCATTGTATACGAAGCAATAATATTTGGTGGATTCAGGAAGTAGGTTATATTTCATGTCCTTTTTATAAAAATATTAGACTTAGTCTCTCTCTCTCATTCTGATTAATACATTTGGCTTATAAGCGAAAAAAATACAGTAATGATATATATGACTGTCAACTGCATTTCCATTGTTAAATTCGAAAACAGCACATTCTTGA